GTCTCCTTGCTACTGTCGTCACTGACCCTTCCTTCGAGTCCACTGCTGCGTCTGCCCTAGTTGCTGAGATCGTCGACTTTGCTGCTCGCTGTCGTCTAGACTACGCTGCTAGTCTTGTCGCTGAGTCTGAATCTGTCTGACCTCTGTCCGTTGGGGGTGAGTGTGCCCTTGGCACGGACGTCCTTGAGGACAAGCAGGAGGAGTTCCAGTGTCTGGCTGCTGCTTCACCTCATCTCGTGTCCACACTACTTAACCCTGAGGGAGACCCGGATGCACTTGACATCCCGACTCCGCGCTCTTACGCGGAGGCGATAGAGGGTCCCTACTCCTCTGAGTGGCAGGCAGCTATGGACGCAAAGATGGCTTCCTGGAAGTCCACAGGCACCTACGTTGACGAGGTTCCCCCGCCTGGGGCAAACATCGTCAGTGGCATGTGGATTTTCAGGGTGAAGCGGCCGCCGGGTTCTCCGCCTGTCTTCAAGGCGCGTTACGTGGCTCGTGGCTTCAGTCAACGGCAGGGAGTTGACTACTTTCAGACCTTCTCTCCCACCCCAAAGATGACCACTCTTCGAGTACTGCTGCACATAGCTGCTCACCGTGACTACGAGCTTCCCTCGCTTGACTTCACCACAGCTTTCCTGCAGGGCAGTCTGCACGAGAAGATCTGGATACGCCGCCCACCTGGCTTCACAGGGTCTTTTCCTCCCGGCACCCAGTGGAGCCTCCGGCGGCCAGTCTACGGCCTCCGCCAGGCACCACGTGAATGGCACGACACACTGAGGACTACACTTGCGGCTCTTGGGTTTGCTCCCTCTACTGCCGACCCGTCACTGTTTCTGCGCATCGACACTTCTTTGCCGCCGTTCTACATCCTCATGTACGTCGACGACTTGGTCTTTGCCACAGCCGACACTGCTGGACTCGCCCACGTGAAGTCCGAGCTGCTGAAGAAACACACGTGCACAGACCTGGGTGAACTGCGCAGCTACCTTGGCTTGCAGATCACCCGGGACAAAGCACGCCGCACCATTACCCTGACTCAGTCACACATGGTGCAGCAGTTCCTTCAGCGCTTCGGCTTCACGTACTCCTCGCCTCAGGCCACTCCTCTGCCTACTCGCCACTCGCTCTCAGCTCTGCCTTCAGATGAGTCCGTAGAGTCGAGTGGCCCGCACCCAGAGCTTGTTGGCTGCCTCATGTACCTGATGACCTGCACTCGACGTGACCTTGCATAGCGTGCCAAGATGCTAAGAGGGTGTGCAAGGTCAGGTTGTGTGCACGTCATCAGGTACATGAGGCAGCCAACAAGCTCTGGGTACGGGCCATTCGGCTCTACGGACTCATCCGAAGGCACAGCTGAGAGCGAGTGGCGAGTAGACAGAGGAGTCGCCTGAGGCGAGGAGTACGTTAAGCCGAAGCGCTGAAGAACCTGCTGCACCATGTGTGACTGAGTCAGGGTAATGGTGCGCTGTGCTCTGTCCCGGGTGATCTGCAAGCCAAGGTAGCTGCGCAGTTCACCCAGGTGTGTGCACGTGTGTCTCTTCTGCAGCTCGGACTTCACGTGGGCGAGTCCAGTAGTGTCAGCAGTGGCAAAGACCAAGTCGTCGACGTACACAAGGATGTAGAACAGCGGCACAGAGGTTTCAGTGCGCAGAAACAGCGACGGGTCGGCTGTAGAAGGAGCAAACCCAAGAGCTGTAAGTGTAGTCCACAGTGTGTCGTGCCACTCACGGGGCGCCTGGCGGAGACCGTAGACTGGCCGCCGGAGGCTCACAGGGTACCAGGAGGAAACGACCCGGTGAAGCCAGGTGGGCGGCGCAGCCAGATCTCCTCGTGCAGGCTGCCCTGGAGGAAAGCCGTGCTGAAGTCAAGAGAGTGAAGCTTGTAGTCGCGCTGAGCGGCTATGTGCAGCAGCACCCGAAGAGTGGTCATCTTCGGGGTGGGAGAGAAGGTCTGAAAGTAGTCAACTCCCTGCCGCTGACTGAAGCCTTGAGCCACATAACGCACCTTGAAGACAGTTGGAGAACCCGGCGGCCGCTTCACCCTGAAAATCCACATGCCACTGACGATGTTCGCCCCACGTGGGTGAACCTCGTCAACGTAGGTACCTGTGGACTTCTAGGAAGCCATCTCTGCGTCCATGGCTGACTGCCACTGTGAGGAGTAGGGACCCTTGATCACCTCAGCGTACAATCGAGGAGTCGGGATGTCTGGTGCATCCGGGTCTCCCTCAGGGGCAATCAGCGTGGACACGAGATGGGGCAAAGCAGCAGCAAAACACTGGAACTCCTCCTGCCTGTCCTCAAGGACGTCCGTGCTAAGAGCACACTCACCCCCGACGGACGGAGGACAGACAGACCGAGACTCAGCAACAAGACTAGTGGCGTAGTGTAGACGACAAAGAGCAGTGAAGTCAACAAGCTCAGCCACTAAGGCAGACGCAGCAGTGGACTCAAAGGAAGGGTCAGTGACAACAGTGGCCAACAGACGCGTGACAGTAGGACTGGCAGCACGAAGAGAGTCAGACTCCGGGTCAACAAGCACAGGAAGAGAGGACTTTGGAGGAGACGGCAACGGGACACGCAGAGGAGCAGTGGAAGGACGCAGTGCCATATGGTGTGTGCCTGGGACCATAGGAGGACGCGGACGCGTTGCACGACGACTAGTGCAAGCAGCACGAACAGGCGACGCAGGACGAGACGCAGGCTCACGACGCTCAGCAAGACCCCTAGTAGGACCAGTGTAGGGAGAAGGAGCAGGTAGGGGGGAGGCAAGCTGTAACTGTGACTGCGAGTGGACAGGCTGTGGACACTCTAAGGGAGGAGCAGGACCAGTCGAGGGCGGGAGACCAAGAACCTGCTCAAGGAGCGGAACGAAGTACGGCCTCGGCCGCGCAGCACCTCCAGAACTAGCAGGGACAGCACCAGTTCCCCTAGCGACACCACCAGCGCCAGCAGCACCTCCAGCTCCAACAGCGCCAACTCCAGCACCCTCAGACGCACCACCGCCAGCAGAAATACCAGCGCCAATACCCCCAGCAGCTTCAGCTTCAGCAGCTCCAGCAGCACCAACTCCAGCAGGACCGGCAGCTCCGGTACCGCCAGCAGCTCCAGCAGGACTAGCTCCAGGAGCCCCAGCAGCACCCCTAGTCCCAGCAGCTCCAGTACCGCCAGTACGAGCACCTCCGGGACCAGCAGCAACAGTAGTACCTCAAGCTCCAGCAGAACGGCTCCAGCGCCGGGCAAATCACTCGCGCAGCTCCTGTGGAGAGAGTGGCTCCCGCCTCGACGAAGCACCGCCGGCGGCCACACAAGCAGACCCAGCGCCCCCAGGCTCCAAACCCCCAGGCTCCGCACCCCCTGACGCAGCACCCCCAGGCTCATCACCTCCAGACTCAGCACCCCCAGGCTCAGCACCCCCAGTCTCAGCACCCCGAGGCTCAACACCCCCAGACTCAGCACCTCCAGACCCGGCACCCGCAAGCTCAGCACCTCTAGTAGCACCAGAGTCAACAGCTACCTCGACAGGCTCGACTGCGTCTACCTGGGACACACCTGAAGGGGCAGGACCCTAAGGGGGGAGGGGGTCTACCGGGGGAGGACCCGGCACAAGGAAGAGCGGCGGCGGGGGAAGGGACGCAGCGCAGTAGGGGAAGAGACGGTAGTAAGGCACCGACTCGTCAAAGGTGACGTCCTGGGAGGACAGAACACGGCGCGAGGTGGGGTGGTAAAACTGCCAACCAGGCGTGTCAGGGGTAAAGCCAAGGTAGACGCAGGGAACAGCACGGGGGGACAGCTTGTCTGCAGACAAGTCGCGGACAAACGTCCGAGATCCCCATGTCAGGCATATATGCTAAAGTCAGTGTAGGCTGTAGTGGGGCTGTTTATATGGGGTACAACACTTTAGGGTATACTACTTGTACTCCTCATCCTGCTCAATGCATTCATTCCTTGATTCTTATCATGGTATCGAGCAGGTTCCCTAGTGGGAACGCTACCTAGGGCCCACCACGATTTTTTTCCTGCCCGGGGCGCACTTCACTCGTGCCCAAGTCGTGCTTTGTGTGCCCTCCCTACCTACGCGCCGCCCTTAGTGGCCCCTCTCACGGCCCCTTACGCCGCCCTTACGGCCCCTAGCGCCGCCCTCTTCGGCCCCTCGCGCTGCCCTTACGGCCCCTTACGGCCCCTCGCGCTGCCCTTACGGCCCCTTACGGCCCCTCGCGCCGCCCTTACGGCCCTCGCGCGGCCCCCTTTCGGCCCCTCGCGGCGCCCTTTCCGGCCCCTTACGGCCCCGTCGCCGCCCCGTTTCGGCCCCTTGCGGCGCCTCTGCGGCCTCGTCTAGGCCCCTTGCGGCCCCTTCTAGGCCCCTTGCGGCCCCTCTGCGGCCTCTCTGAGACCCCGTCGCCGCCACCTACGGCCCCGTCGCCGCCACATGCGGCCCCGTCGCCGTCACCTGCGGCCCCGTCGCCGCCACCTGCAGCCTCGTCGCCGTCACCTGTGGCCCCGTCGCCATCATTTGCTGCCCCGTTGTCGCAGCCGCCAAAGGTGGCGGCCCCGCCGCCACCTGCGGCCCCTTCGCCGCCACCTGCGGCCCCGTCGCCGTCATCTGCGGACCCGTCGCCCTCCCCTAGCGGCCCTGTCGCCGCTCAGCCGCCCAGCGATCGAGACGCCGAGCAACCCATCAGCCGAGCAGCCCACCTGCCGAGCAGCCGAGCCGCCCAGCAGCCGAGCCGCCCAACAGCCGAGCTGCCAAGCAGCCGAGCCGCCCAGCAGCCAAGCCGCCCAACAGCCGAGCCGCCAAGCCGCCGAGCCACCCGGCTGCCAAGCCGCCCAGCCGCCGAGCCGCCCAGCAGCCGAGCCGCCTAGCAGCCAAGCCACCCTGCCACCGAGGCGCCGAGCTGCGGAGCCGCCCTACTGTTGAGCCGCTGCTGTTCCTACCGGTGCGCCCCGGCACTCCTTCCTCGGACTGGTGAGCTCACTCCCTCCTAGGCCATTGCAGTCATGGCTACCCCCAGTGTCCTTACTTTTGATGCTGAGGGCCGTGCCGTTGACTTTGAGGTCTGGGTCGATGACCTCCAGCTGTTTCTCCAGTGCGATAGGGCAGACGGACTCTCTCTGTTCCATCTCACCTCTGGTGTCTCTCCTGCCCCGCCTGCCACTGCTGACAGCACTGTTCGCTCACAGTGGGCCACACGCGATGCTGCTGCTCGCCTTGCTGTGCGTTGCCACTTACCGACCACTGAGCGTGCACACTTTAGCCAGTACAAGAGTGCTCAGACCTTGTACGACGCTGTAGTTGCACGGTACTCTTCCCCTACCACTGCTGCACTAAGCCGCTTCATGCTACTGTACCTCTTCCCTGACCTTGCTGCCTTCCCCACAGTCGCTGACCTCATTACGCCCCTCCGCACTAGTGACACTCGCTACCGCGCTGCGCTTCGTGCTGAGTTCTGCGCCAAGAACCCCCCCCCCCCATGTACATCACCCTCTACTACATAGTCACCCGGCTCCCTGACTCTCTCCGTGTAGTCAGGGACCACTTCCTCTCAGTTTGCCCCACCACTCTCACCGTTGACCTCCTCGAGAAGAGCCTCCTAGCAGCAGAGAAGAGCATAGTCGCTGTAGGAGCCTCTCGTGGTGACCCTCGCACCCCCGTCTTTGAGGGGTGTTCCCCCTCCCCCCTCTTGCCCTCTCTTGCCTCTGCTGCTGCAGCCGACCTCGTTGGTTTCGAGTCGGTCGGCGCTGCGTCTGCCCCTAGCAGGAGACGCCACACCGGGAAGGGCAAGGGGGGCAAGGGCGCTGGAGGGGCTGGCGGGGGCGGTGGAGGTGGTGGTGGAGGCAGTGGAGGGGGTGGGGGTGGTGGTGGGAGTGGTGGCGGGGGTGGAGGTGTCGGTGGCGGCAGTGGAGGCGGAGGAGGCGGCGGCGGTGTTGGAGGGAGCGAAGGCGACGGAGGTGGTGGAGGCGGCGGAGGCGGCGGAGGTGGCGGAGGCGGCGGCGGCAGCAGTAGACCTGGTCGCAGCTCTGCGCAAAGGAGTGGCTCTGGTGGTGGTACGCGCCAGTAGCAGCAGCGCAGTCGTGAGACTCTGTCCCCTCAGCAGCTTCGTGAGTGGTACGCTGCGCGTCAGCGCGGTGGGGGTACGGGTCCCTGCACCTACGTTCTCCGCACCGGCGACCGCGCTGGTGAGCAGTGCGGGGGCCCGCACTCCACCCAGCGCTCCTTCGGCCGCTTGATGGACGCGTGGCGTCACCAGTTCCTCGAGGCCTCTGAGATCCCTCGCTGGGGAGAGCTGTCTAGGGCGAGGGTTGCTATCTTTGGTCTTGATTTTGATGCTATTCTTGCTGCCATGTATGCTGTTGCTGATAGTGTTGAGGGTGACTGTTACCTATGTGTTCCGCATGACCCGGGCATTGAGGCTGCTGCTCTAGGTGCTAGTGAGGCTGCTGCTCTAGGTGCTAGCGCGTCTGCTGCCACAGGTGCTGGTGAGTCTGCCCTCTCAGGTACCACGTCGGCTTAGGCCTTACACACGTTCACCCTTGACTCGGGTGCTTCCCGCTCCTTCTTTCAAGACCGCACCACACTTACGCCGCTTAGTCGGCCGGTTGCGGTCTCCCTGGCGGACCCCTCTGGGGGTCCTGTCCTTGCTCGCTTCTCCACTGTCTTACCGGGGGAGGACCTGGCACAAGGAAGAGCGGCGGCGGGGGAAGGGGCGCAGCGCGGTAGGGGAAGAGACGGTAGTAAGGCACCGACTCGTCAAAGGTGACGTCCTGGGAGGACAGAACACGACGCGAGGTGGGGTGGTAAAACTGCCAACCAGGCGCGTCAGGGGGGAAGCCAATGAAGACGGAGGGAACGTGGAGCTGGTCGACCAGAAGGGACGTCGACCTGGAGGAGGTCAACCAAGGGGCGTGGTCGTCCTGGTGAGGTCGACATGGAGGTGGTCGTCGACTTGGGAGGTCGACGGGCACGTACGAGAGCTGCTGGTCGACGTGGTTGCCCGGTCGACCAGGTTACCTGGGTTACAAAGTGCTGCGGAGGAGTGCGACGGTCGCCCAGGCGAAGTTGGCGAGACCGACCTCGGTGGTGGTATCCCGAGGTTGTCTTGGCGGATCAGAGGCAGTCGTCTGCTCGAGGTTGACGTGGTGTGTGCGCTGTGCAGGTGACGAGACTCTGCACGCCAATCATCTGCGCGCACCTGCGAAGCGGGTGCACTGCTGTCCTGCGTGAGCAATGCTGGCACGCCATCAACCTGCGACGTTGGCACGCCGTCGACCTTGCCTTGCTGGATTGTGGTCGACCAAGTCGTGCTGGAACGCGGTCGACCAAGCTCCGCTGGCAGTTGGCTGACCTGAATGCTAGCTCTGATGTAGTCTTGCATTGCCAACTTCATTGAATCATTGTTGTCATGTTTTTCTAGTAAAAAAAAAACCTCTTGCCAATTCTCCCCGTGAACTAGCAAGAAGCGTAAACACAAGGAAATGACTAAGTGATCGAACGCAGAGATCACACGAGCACACGTGCCTAGCCCGTAGTCTAGCTCCCGTTGCAGCTTTTATCTCCGCAGTCCTGCGGGTGCAACGCTGTGCAGCTGACTTGTTGTAGCGCTGGCAGACCATAGACTTGCAACGTTGGCGCACCGCGACCCTGCAACACTGGAGTGGTGCGAGCGCTGCTGCGCTGGAGCGCGGTCGACCATGCTGCGCTGGAGGTCGACCAACAGCCTAGCTAGCTCTGATATAGTCTGTGTTGCCAATGTTGCTGTACCCATTGTTCTGAACTTTTCCTAGTGGAACTCTTGCCAACTTTCCCCGTGAACTAGCAAGTGTGTGCGCATAAGGAAACGACTATGGAACGAACGAACGCAGAGATCACCCGAGCACCTGTGCCTAGCCCGCAGTTTAGCTCCCGTATCTCCAGTTATCTCCGCAAGTAACAGTCACCCTCAGCACTAACAGACAATGCATACATGGCAGATAGGATAGCATCAAAGTCTAGAGCAAAGATATCAACATTCTGCCTAAGTAGCGCCGCCCAGTCGGGGAGCTCAGCCGCGTCGGGGAACTCTGCGCGGAAGGCGCCGGTAAGGTGGTAGAAGCAGTGGTGCTGAGTGTGAGACCTCCCGCATGTCTGACCAGTGCGGTCATCTGTGCGAATGACATACGGGCAGGGACCACTACCCCCAGCCGCCCCACGCTGAGCAAACCATTCACGGAGCTCCTGAGACGAAAAGGGGCTGACGGTGCTGCTGCTAGTGGCCACCTCCAAGGCCTCCCCTCTGGCTGGTGCCACCCCTCCAAGGGTGAACGTGGCCAGGTGCCTGCCACTCTGGGAGCACGTATCGATCGCCACACGCTGTCCTCCAGGGTGAAGGTATCAACCCAGGCATCCTGAAGGACGGCGTTGCTCACAAAGTTCGTAGAGAACGAAGGGAGGTGGAGATCCGATAGTGAGCCAGACGGAATCGCCGGATACGGCAGTACAATGGAGGAACGCGCAAGGACTGGGCCCCCAGAGGGGTCAGCCAGAGAGACAGCAACAGGTGCTGAGAGCGGTGTGACTGTGGTACTGTCGTGAAAGAAACAGCGAGAAGCACCTGAGTCAAGCGTGAAGGTGTGCAAGGCCGCAGCAGACGCGGTACGTGAGAGAGTAGACTCACCAGCACCTAGAGCAGCGGACTCACTAGCATCTAGAGCAGCAGCCTCTATACCTGGGTGTGGCGGCATACACAGGTAATAGTCACCCTCAGCACTGACAGTCAATGAATACATGGCAGCAAGGATAGCAACATAATCAAGAGCAAAGATATCAACACCCTGCCTAAGCAGATCTGCCCAGCGGGGGAGCTCTGCCGCGTCGGAAAACTCGGTACGGAAGGTGTCGGTAAGACGAGCGAAGCAGCGGTACTGGGTTTGAAGCTTCCTGCATGTCTAACCAGAGCGGTCACCTGTGTGAATGACATACGGGCAAGGACCACTACCCCCAGCTGCCCCACGTTGAGAAAATCACTCACGTAGCTCCTGAGGCGAAAGACGCTGCTGCTGCTGCCTCTGACCATCGCTAAGGCCTCCCCTCTGGCTGGTACCACCTCGGCCGCCACCACTGCCGCCGACTCCACTCCTAGTGCCTCCACCACTGCCGCCGCCACCACCCCCACCAACGCCACCACCGCCTCCACCTGCGCCTCTACCCCCACCCCCACTCTCTCCGCCACCGCCGCCCCCTCCACCGCCTCCACCGCCCCCACCACCTCCTCCACCTCTGCCACCCCCACCGCCCCTACCTCCCCTGCACCTGTTGCTACGGTGCCTCCCATTAGGGGCAGACGCAGCTCCCACCTCCTGTGCACGAAGATAGTCAACAACTGCAGCCGAGGTGATGGAGGGGAGAAGAGGGGAGGGCGAGCACTCCTCAAAGAAGGGAGTGCGAGGAGTGCCACAAGAAGCGCCTACAACTATGCTAGTCTCATCTACAAGGAGGTGCTTCTCGAGCAGGTCAACAGTGAGGTCTGTGGGGTCAAGGGTGAGAAGGAGGTCCCTGACAGCGCTAAGAGAGGCAGCGAGGCGGGTCACTATGGAGTAGAGACTGATGTCATGGGAAGAGGGTTCTTGGTGAGGAACTCGGCAGGAAACGCAGCTCGGTAGTGGACGTCACTAGTGCGAAGGTGAGTGATGAGGTCGGAGACTGTGGCAAAGGCGGATAGCTCGGGGAACAGGTAGGGCAGTAGAAGCGCGCGACGGCAAGTGGCGCGCTTGCAAGGAAGGGCATGCGGGCAGAGCAGGGTGCGCGACGGCGAGTGGCGCGCGGGTAGAGCAACGCGCGCGGCAGCGATTAGCGCGTGTGCAGAGCGGCGCGGCGCGGCGGCGAGCAGCGTGCGAGCAGGGCGCGCGGCACAGCAGCGAGCGACGCGCGGTTCAGGCACTGCGCGCGGCGGCGAGCAGCGTGCGGGCAGGGCAAGGCGTGCAGCAGCGAGCAGCTCGCGGGTAGGGCAGGGCAGGGCAGGGTAGGTGGGCGCGGCACTAACAGGGTGGCGCGACTCGTGGGGTAGCGCGGTTCGGTGGGCCCTTAAAAAAAATCCGATCCTAGGCTAGGACCTGCTCTGAAACCATGTCAAGAGAACGAACGAGAATGTGTCAACTATCTGTCAAACTATACTCTACAGTTTGTTTAGGCTGTAGTGGGGTAGTTACCATGGGGTACAGTAAGTTTAGGGTTTCCTACTTGTACCCACCACTTTTCTAGTGCAGACACACTTGTTCATTCTAACATGCTATTACGAGCCTAGGTTAGGAACATAGGACCGCTTAGTCCTAAGGGCCCACCGTTCCGCTAGAAGCGCCCTTGTGCGCCCCACCTGCTTAGCACCCTCGTGCGCCTCTCTGCTAGTGCGCCCTCGCGCGCCCTCCCTCTCACGCTGCCCGTGCAGCCCGCGAGCCGCCCGAGCGTGGCCCCCCGTTTTTAGCGCGCGCAGCCTGCTAGCCACCCATGCGCGGCCCGTTTTCTCGCGCGAGCCCGTAGGCCATTGCCCGTAGGTCGACGCTCGTACGGCTGCCGCCCGCCCGCAGGTCGCAGCCTGCGCGCCGCGGTTGTCGCTCGTCGGCTGCTGCAGCTCGCGCTTAGTCGTCGCCTATAGGAAACCGCGGCCCGCGTGCAGCCGCACCCTAGACGCGACCGCGCACCGCGCACAGGCCCGACGTCGAGCCGCGCCGCGCCGTCCTGCCCGAGCCGCGCCGCGCCGTCCTGCCCGAGTCGCGCCGCCCTTACCGGGCCGCGCTGCCCCACCTGCAGCAACTGCTGCTCCTGTTCCTGCTGCTACTGCTGTTCTTACTGTTGCTGTTGCTACTGCTACTGCTGTTACTGCTAGTGATGTTACTGCTACTGCTGCCACCATGGCTACTCCCACCATTCTCTCTTTCGATGCTGAGGGCTGCCAGGTTCAGTTTGATGCTTGGCTCGACGACCTGCACCTGTTCCTACAGATCACTGCTAAGGATGATATCTCACTGTATGATCACGCGTCCGGAACCGCTCCTGCACCTGCTGAGACTGCTGACAGTACTGCTCGCTCCCAGTGGTAGACTCATGGCGCTCACGCTCGCCTAGCCATTCGTAGCCACCTACCGTTAGATGAGCGTGCGCATTTTGGCCAGCACAAGACTGCTAAGGCACTGTACGATGCTGTAATAGCGCGCTACTCCTCGCCTACCTCTGCTACGATCGGCCGTCTCTCGCTGCCCTATCTTTTCCCCGATCTGGCCGCCTTTCCCACAGTCGCTGACCTCATTACTCACCTCCGCACTAGTGACACTCGCTACCGAGCCGCCCTTCCTGCTGAGTTTCTTGCCAAGAATCCTCCCCCGATGTACCTCGTTCTCTACCACCTAGTCACCCGTCTCCCTGACTCTCTTCGCGCAGTCAGGGACCACTTTCTCGCCCTCTGCCCCACCGAGCTCACCGTTGACCTGCTCGAGAAGCACCTGCTTGCAGCTAAGGCTAGCATAGTCACTGTGGGTGCCTCTC